CACCGCCTCTTTGGGCAGACAGCTCCAGGGTCTCACAGAATCACAGAACAGTGAGTGCTGAGAGGCTAATGTGTGTAGTCAGCCATAAATATAAATTACATTCATGTATATTATATATGAATTACATACATGAGCTGGGTATGTGTGCTTGTGTGCGTGTACCTACTGGAAATACAGCATCAGTCTCAGTCCTGCTCAAAACTGGGGCCATGGAGCTGCAGCAGCCTCACTCCTGGTTTTGGGAACCCCTGACCCTACTTTCCTGCATAGCAGCTCTTGGAGATGCACTACAACATCTGCTTTTTCCTCATAAGTGTTTTAAATAATTTCGGAGTAGCAATTTTGATGTCTTTCTGCAGCTCAGTTCTCAGAGAGCTGAAAGATAATTAACGGATGCAAAAGAGTCTGAAAGATCCAGCATTAGCATGGAATGGCATTTAGGGGCCCAGATTTCTCAGGAGGAGCGTTGCAAACATGAATAACAATTGAAGACGCTTCCATACATAACAACCAATTCAAAATAGAAAAGGAAAAAAATTTATTAACAAGATAAGAGTTTTTAGGCCATGGCTCCAGTGATTTGCTGAATAGAAAACTTCAAATCTTTGTGCTAAAAGCTTTCAGCCTAGGCATGAGCCACTAGCCAGACAAAAAGCAAGTTGCAGAGCACCTCATCACAGATATTATTGGAAAAAAGAGAATGTGTTTATTGCACACACATAAAGTGCAGATCAAGATTCATTGTCCCATTAAACGGGACTGCCCACATGCTCCACTTCACCTTTCAGGATGAACAGAAATTCTACTTTGTCTAAAAAAAAACGTTTCTCAGCAATTTCTTTCCACAGACACTTTTTCCTCTATCAAGAACCAGTACATGCTAACTTCTGTGAGCAAAAAAAAAAGTTCTCATATACTTCAGTGAAAAGGTTTATAAATAAGCATAGGGAGAGCATATGTTTAAGTGAAAAGATCAGGGTTTTGGTTTTTTTTTTGTCTAAAAACCCAGGTGATCTGTATTCTAGATTCTCTAGATTTTTCTAGAAACCATTTTGTATAGAATTTAGTTCTAGTTTTAAAATTTCATTCAAAAAAATTCAAAACTAGATGGTTAAAAGCATTAAAGTACTAAAAATATTATTTTTAGTATGTTCTGTGAGAAAAAAATTGTCAATGAAGTTAAAGTCACTTTCACGTCTCAGAGATGTTCATCCACAATGTCAATATAGTCACAGAGTACACAGGTCATGTTCTTTTTCACAATGTCCATAAATCTGCATGAACAAAAAATTAGGTCTACCTCAACTTTACCCTGTCTTCAAACACAAGAAACATCAATAGCTATTTTCTGTCCCTTGATGAATTTCATATTATGGTGTGAAATCTTATCTACCATGCTTGAAAAGCAAAAAAAATTTAAAACACAACAACCAGCAGCTGGACTGAATCATGTTTTTAATGGAAGTTTCAGCTATGTGAAACTTCCATTAAAAACATGATTCCAGGAAAATTATATTAAAATCAGGCAGTCACCAGCACATACCTACAGACAGACATTGCCAAAGTCATTTACCAGATAGAATAAATTTACATGAATATAACCTATTTCCTTGTGTTGCTTTCTGCAGCATCCCAGGCTGTGTCCTAACAAATTTAATCAAACTGGAGCCCAGTGGAACTGAAGTTCTTGACAGATTTTTGTGTCAGTCATGGCCTGGATTTCTCCTCCACAGGGAATTTCCTTCTTCTCTACTGATCAATAAAAGACCAGTTGCATTCAGACCCTTATGGCATATGCTGTATTTTAATTCCTGTGAGTTCTTCTTCACTTCCCTGCACTTCTGTTAATAAAAGACCAGTTGCATTTAGACCCTTATGCTGTAAGTATGACATATGCTGTATTTTAATTCCTGTGAGTTCTTCTTCACTTCCCTGCACTTCTCAGGGTTTGTAGCGTCACTATGGTCACAGAATCATGGAATGGTTTGGGTTGGAAGGGTCCTTACAGATCATCTGGTTCCAACCCCTGTCTGCTTGTCCTTCTCTCTAATATAAAAAGACATGAAACTTCCACGTTTCTCAGGTCTTCTTTGTCCCTCATCTGGGAGATCTTTTACACAGCTCTGACAGTATCAGAATAAACACCCACACAGCAAAGTATTTAATGGCCCAGCAACTGGATAATCTCATTTACGTGGTTTTGAAGTGTAAGTGTTCTAATTATGGAATCATTATGGGATACAGAGATACACAGGGATGAGTTTAGGCACCAAATATTTTGGTCTTTGTTCTTTGTGTTTTTAGAATGGGTTTCATAAATCAAACCAGTTTATCACCAAAGTTTTCTACAGCCAACAGAAATTACCCTTCCACACTACAGAAGGAAAAAGAATCTTAACACAACGGACACTCTCATTCATTGCAAAGCATTTTGCAATGTTACAGAGCATTTGTTCCACACCTATCAATGGAAAGCAGGAGTCCCTGGAGTGAATTGCTGCCTTTAGTAGGACACAACACTACCCAGCAACGCAGGGCAGGAAATGAGGAGCACACCAAGAGCCAGCTGTAAGTGCCGCAGACATTTTTAGGTTGACGATGTAATTATCCCAGCTGGAACCCTGCCAGGAAATCAGCCAGGAAAACACAGTCTCAGTTCATTAATCCAGCTCTTTATGCCACCCAGCTAAACATATCATTTCACATCACACCAGGGTTGGTCTCATTTACACGGCTCGTGGGTGCTAATAATGGTGTGTGGTGTCTCCTGCTCTCCTCATTATGGGGTCGTGTTGAACAGCCCCCAAAAAAAGCTGCTCCACTTTTCTGACAGGCTTTTTTCCCAGCCTGGAGTGTTGACAAGAGATGAATGTCTGTGTCATTTTGTATAATTCTCTTTAAGATCTTTTTCCTCCTCTCTGCTTCTTCATTGTTGTCTGAGTTTTTTTCTAAATATAGGTTAAGAAAAGTAAAAGGCTTTTGTCATGTAAAAAGTCAGAAATTCAGTATAGATAAAGAGTGGGCAAGTTTAGGTTGATGCCTCTAACTCAGGAGAAGGCTCCTGAGGAGAAGCTGAGTCAGCATCACAAACCCAAAAGGCAAAAGGGTATTAATTCAGACAGAACATGAGTACTCATGTCACCACTGAAGATGCTGAGCTACAACTTGACACTACACAAAATAAGACATGTAAGCAACAGCAAACTGAAGTAGTTGAGAAATGAAAATTAATGCCAGAACAGCCAGGCATCAGCATTAAAAATAAAATAAATTAAAATAAAATAAAAAAAAACAACCAAAGCCACAACAACAAACACCCAGCTGAAAAAATAATCAACAAAACCCACAAAACCCCACTAGAATACTGGAATGTCATTGTACATAGAGCATACAGCAAATACTTAACTTATTCTGATGTAATGACAACTGAGTATTTAAGAAAACCCAAACCACACAGGAACATGAAGACAGTGAAACCAAATATACGCAGAATGGAGAGGAGGAAAAAATACCCTCAGAACAGAAAAGAGTGGAATATTCACTAATCAGTGCTTATATACACAAAATTTAACCCTGCTTTCTCTTATGATGACTTCAGTCCAATTTTCACAAGACAGGAAAAAAAAAAACCAAAAACAAGACAACATAGTATGAGTTCTGGAGGAGTAACTCACTGAGTATCAGTATTTTACACCCAAATCCATTAGACTCCTTTTGAAATCTCAGTTGGAGATTTCTCAGTCTTGTTCTAACACCCAGGGCTGATGATACTGGCAGATGGTATCTTTAGATTGTAGGACTTACAATGGAATACCATGAGATGTACTTAATTCTGCTGCACTAAAAATAATTACAAAGTCAGTAAAACTGAAACATTTTTCCTAGGTATATATTGAAAACATATTTTTCCTCTACCACACAGGTAAATTTGAAAGCACCTCATACCCATTTTATCTTTTGAAAGAAAATTGTCAGACCTTGTGAGTATCCATTTATTTTATCACCAACACCCAGAAAATAATTGTCTTAATATTGTTATTATACTTGTATTTTTAAGCTTTGATACTATTTTTTATATATATTTGAAACCACAAGTATTTCTATATTGCTCTTTTATCTGGTTGATAATTGTTAGATTGCTCAGAAACATATGTACCATAATCCTCATTCTACATTTGCACCCACAGGCTTTTTTAAACCACTGATCAGATTCAGCCAAGTGAAAAAAATCACATCATTTTGTCATACAGCAGAATAAAAACCAGGCTGAAAATGGAACAATAAGCTTTGGCACTGGGCAAAGTTCTACTCCCATCAGGCATTTTTCCTGTTGGAACCCTGGTTGTGAGAATTTTAGGCTTTCCGTGCTGACAGGCACTGGCCCCCAAGAGAGCACTGCACGGACCTGAGGCCATGGAGAAGGCTTCCAAAATGGAACGATGGAACTGGGATTGTGGGTGTGGAGTTTGAATAGAAGTGTGTGATATCACAGGGTGGAAAACTTAAAGTTTAAGGTTTTAGAATATAGTGATATATGTAAAGCAAGATGGAGGTTGTAGGGCAGAGGCTGGTCCTTCTTCTTTACCTTCTTCTTCACCTTCTTCTCCAAGGATTTTGGTGGTTTTCTGTAACTGGATAAAAAAGTCCGTATTGCGAGGCATGGGTGGCTGGTTATTGGGTTAAAAGCAAAAGTAATTGAGGTGTCATTTCTTAATTGGACTGTTTATTCTTAAAAGACCTTGGAGAGAGAGAGATGGAGCTCCATTTTTACTTTGTTAGTGAAGTGCTGTAGAACATTTATTCTTAAAAGACCGTGTAGAGAGAGAGATGGAGCTCCATTTTTACTTTGTCAGTGAAGTTCTGTAGAACTCATGATTTGTGAGACTGTAACACAGATAAGAACTAATAAAGATCTGAGTCCAAACAAGAAATACCATCTCACACATTTAATCCTGTCCCTGGCAGAAAAGAAGAAAAAGAATCCACATTTTTTCACATACCTTGTTTTCGAACATCATCTACAGCAGCAACCAACTCCTCCTTGAGATCCTGGCTCTCTTTAGCAATTTGGTCTCCTTTTTCCAAGAAGTTCTGAGTGGCCTGCTCCACTGAGGCAGCCAAAACATGAGCCTTCTTCGAGCGCCCTTTCTTCTTGCCAGACGGTCCTTTATTGCTCGTGTTCACCAGTGTCGTTACCTTTGGGCAGGAAAAACAAGTTTTGTCAGTTTGAACAATTCTCTATTTATAGGAACACCTAATTCAATCCTCACACTATTTTCTGTGTTCAGGAAGGGATGTAGTGGCCACATGTTTTGAATAGATAAAATTGTAAGTATAAAATCCAGTGGCACGTCCCCCAAAAGAGGGTTTTCCTTTTAACCTCTCCTCAGCCTGAGCTAAGCAAATCATAGCCAAGCAGCAAAAAGAAAAAGATAAGAACCAGGCATGGCAGGTCTGTGGTGCCAAAGCATCTTTTTTTTACTTGTTTTCATTTTTTAAAAAATGAAGACACTGATAAAATGGAATCTGAACACACAAGGGTCAAAAACCATTCAAAAAGCAATTGTCCCTTGAGATAATATACTGACAGTGGCATGCAAGTAGTAACAAAAATACTGTGGCCATTTTCCAGACATGAAAGGTACAAAGAGCTCCCACTGCAAAGATTATACAGGTTAAAACTCTTTGCCTTAGTGCTGCCTCACTGTATTCCTAATATTTTGTCATAAAACCACAGCAGGCAGCACAATGATCCTAGTATTTAAACAGAAGGAAACTCTGCCTCCTTGTTTGCAGAATCTCCTGAAGGAATTCTTTATTGAGCTGTCAATAAACTGATTAGAAAGCTTAAAACCACAGCCCAGTGTGTACATCCCACAGCTGAGTGCTGGGCAAAGAGGGAATCCTGCATGACTCCAGCAGTACCAGGCTGCTGCTCTGTAAAACTGAATATTGAATTGGGTACCATCAGGTGTTAAATGCACAAAAAAATGAGCAGGGATGCAGTTCTCCCTAACCAGGATACAAACCAGGGCACCTGTAGTGTTGTATCAGTGTTCTAAGCCACAATTTTGCTGTAAGAAAATAAATGCCTTTGTAATAAAGACATTTGACTAAAAAACAAAAGATTCTAAAACAAGTATGAACATTCACTGTCTCATCCCTGTTACCAGAAGAGTGACAAGGCCTGTGGTACTGTTTTGACCAAAACACCTTTTACCACGCTCTTTGTGCTACATTTTTTTTTCTTTCAGCCGTTTTTTGTTTGGTTTTTTTTTTTTTTTCCAAATCATATCATAAAACAACAGGCTGTGGAAGAATAAATATATGTACCTATATCTATAATCTATATATATATATAATCAGGGCTTGAAAACACCATATACATGCATGTACTGGGAGAAAAAAAAAATGTAATCCAGGGCCTTCTTTCAGGAAAGAGTCTGTTTGGCTACTGGAATGTAATATTCATTCATCATATCGGTTTTTTTTGGTTTTTTCCCCCACTGTTTATATCCAGAAATAATATTTTCTTTATTAGCTTTCCCTTGCAAATATTCCTCAGGAAATTTCCTGAAGATCATTTCATAGTTGATCATTGTCATTGGTATCTAGTTAAGGACACCTACAGAAATGCAAATAATTCTAGCCCACCACAAAGCAATAAGAAAATTTATCAGAACTTCCCAATGTGGAAATAATTACAAATTGAAATAAATATTTATTAATATTTTCTTTAGGGCCTTTCTGAAATAAAATAACTGCTTTTTCCAGTGCTGCTTAATATGTAGAAATACATAAAAATCATTTATATTGTCTACAAGTGCTCACAATCTTCTCAGTTAAGAACTTCTGTGTAAAGCAGATGAACACGTGCAGGTCCTAGAGGTGAAAAGGATCTGGAACTGGCAAAAAACCTTCACTAACGCTCTGAGCTGCTGAGCCCAGAACTAACACAGTCCATAGGAAAATCCAAATTACCACAGAAGATGGAGACTTTTTCTACCACTTCTTATAACTCACTCGTAGGATACAGCACCCCAAAGTCAATCCTCTTTTTCAAAAAGAAATACTGGTGTATTCTGTTTGAGCCCACTTCATAAATGTTTTGCTGTTCTTTTTTTTTTTCTTACTGATTTTGTTTCAACCATTAAAAAAAATAAGTTTCCATCATGTCAAAAGGTGGGACTCAAATATAATCATGGAAGAGTGCCAGCAAGAGAGCACAAGATCACAAATGGTGCTAGAGGCTTTGTTTGGCTCAATGATTTGTAAACTTGAAGCAAAGGCTTTAAAATTTTAAACAAAATCTACTGGCATGAAATCCAAAGAAAAAAAAAAGCAACATCTTACTAGCCTCTGATCAACAGCATTCAGATGGAACAAGGAGAGAAATTTCCATGTGGAGCTATGACATTCCCCTGGAAAAGGAATTCTGGATTCCAGTCTCTGCGCCATGAAGTTGGGTTCTGGGTAATACAGAGCTCTTACGGGAAGAAAACCACTCATAAAAACTGGAATATTGCCATTTTACCCACCTTGTGTCACCTTCTTTAAATTACATTAAATTACGAGTTAAGAGGCTAAAAAAAGCAGTCTCTTCCAAAATTAGAATTCCTGTTACATAAAGTCAGCTGTACTTGGACAGGGCAAAAGGGGAAGGAAGGCTTCTGATACCTGTGACACAAAAATCCATGGCATCCAAGATTCCTATTTTTAAAAATCCCATAACCTGTGAATTTATATAAATTGCATGAAAAAAATGAAGAAATAATAATAATAATAATAATAATAATAATAATAATAATAATAATAATAATAACCTTTTATCTTATTAAAATACCTCAGTTTTTCAGCAGGGCTTTAAAGCTAACTGGTTTATTTTAAATATCTTACCCCACCTAAAGTGGTACAAAGGAAAGAATGTCTCTATCAGCTTCTGTTACTAATTAATGCAGAAGTCACCCAAAATTCTGTACAATTATCAAATATATCACTTGATAATTACCATAAGCTCATTTGGCAGCCTTGTAATGATCCTGGCTTTGTGATCACACTAGGGAACCTTGCTCTCTTATTTTATTAAAGAAGCTTCACACAGTCCTAGCACAGATCTCTGCTGAAATAACAGAACTTCACTAATTAACAGTTAAGCCCCACCCTGGTTTAAGGCCTCCTTACCCAGCTCCAGGAGCACAAAAGAAAGGTGAGGATGTCTTTGCTAAAAGTAGAAAATTCTATTAACATGGATTTCCCTATGGCAGAGATCAGGTGTGGGCAGGGAATGCCAGAAGTGAAAGGGGATAGAGCTGGATCACACACTCATCAAATCAATCCCGTCAGCAGCTCCAGCTCACACAAGAACATTCCTGGCTCTCTGAATTCAACTGTCTTCCCTACAGATTTCTGAAAGGGATGAGCCACAAGTTTAAGAGTTGTAATTCTCCCCGTTTGCCTTCTCTTTGCTCAGTATGTGCTCAAATTGCATTATTTACCCAAGACTTCCCATAACCATGTTAAAGACCAGCATATATTGACAACTCTTGAGGCAAATATTGACAGATTTCTTTTTTGTTTAAATTTTTTAATTATCCTGCTAATCCTTATGATTTCTCTGTGGTCCCTCACACAGGACAGATGCCTTGGTATTGTGTTTTCAGCACATATTGGGTGATAAAAGGATTGAGAGAAGCCCTTTGGAGAAAGACTTGAGGACACTGGTGGCATATGGCACAGGGACTGGACCAGGTGATCTTTAAAGGTCTCTTCCAGCACAAATAATTCAATGATTCTGTGATTCTACATTTAAATATCAATGGCACAGGCTGTTGGGAGTTTTTCCGAGCGTGGACAGCATTTATATGTTTCCTTGTTTTTAATAAACCAAAGCAGACAAATCAAATTCAGCTCTGCAAACATTATGAAAACTAGTCAGACAAATTTTTGGCTCTGGTTGTGACAGTTGAAATCAGTGTAAAAGAATTTCTTTGAAAGATGACTAATTATTTACAAAAAAAAAAAAATTAAAAATTCACTATTCTCCCCTATGCCCCTTGTATTTTCAAGTAACTATTATTTGTTCTTCCTAGTGGCATTTTTTCGATGTGAACAGCTATGAATTATTCCTCTCTTCTCATTCACCCATAGATCACCAAGGTGCTGGAAACATGCAATGACCTGAGCAAAGACAGCCCTGACATTTCAGTGGAAGGGCCTCTTTTTTTTCTGGGTATCAGCTGCCCTTCCACTCCACTGCACCATCTCACTGCCTCACTGACTGTACAACACTCACCCCCCGAGCACTCAAAACCTGCTACTTCCAAAAGAATTTTGTTGCATCAAAGAAAAAAAAAAATAAATCATTACAACTGTCTGGAAACACAAAACCTCTTTTTCCAGTCTCATGGCTGGGTTTGCTTTTTTCTGTTTGTTTGTTTCCTTTGGCAGAAGAGACCTTTCAAAACACCTGGAGAGAGAAGCAGATTGTGTTGGGGGTTACAGCACCAGCATGGGCATGGGAAAATCCAATTTGATTGCCTGCTCTAAATGAGGTAGAGAACAGACCTGAGCACTGTGTTTGTGACCTTCTCATGGACCACCCAGCAGCAGAGCAAACAGGGATGGGATTTTGCCCTACAAATTCCTGGCTCTGCACACCAAAGACTTAAGTTATGATGTGGCTCTCAGCAGCAGCTCATTAGCTGATCCCACTCCAACTGCAATGTGTTAACTGAGCAAAATACAGGACAAAGTGCTTTCAACAGCTACTTTTCATTCACATACAAAACAGAAAAGCAGCTAAATTGGATTTTACATTAGCTGATCCCACTCCAACTGCAAGGTGTTACTGAGCAAAATACAGGAGAAAGTGCTTTCAACAACTACTTTTCATTCACATACAAAACAGAAAAGCAGCTAAATTGGATTTTTTCCACATTTCTGCAGAGGAGAAGATAACTTGCTGGGGATGTTTTCCCCATATTTGTGCTTATTTTCTAGTGCCACACAAAAAGAAGGCTATTTTTTCCCTATTACACCAATATGTGTGAACACAGATGTTCTGCTGAGCACGATTCAGTCTGTAGCATAACTCCATTTTTTTATAATAACTGTTCTTCAATTTTCCCTATCAACTTGAGTAATTTGCCACTGTCCTTACCCCATAAATCATAACAGCTTACATAATTAAC